TCAGGTCCTTGCGCTTGCAAAGCAGGCAGTGGAACCGCTGAGCTAAATCCCCGGCTAAATAACCAATCTTAAAGCAGTTGGAGAAGTAAACTACAAGTAAAAGCATAGGAAAAGAAGGCAAAATTAGAGAAAAATAAGAAATTTGTTGCATTCAGAAGAAGAATTGGATATAAAGTAGGAGAGGGGCATTATGATGAAAGGAAAATTTGGGGCTACAGATTTAGCTCAGTGGTGCCTCCATCTGCCTCATAAATACAAGGATCCAAGTTCGATCCCCAGTACAAAAAAAAGAAAAGAAAATTTTGAGTACTGTTTTGTGTAGAACAAGGATGATCTTCTGGGGTCTACGTAAGATGAGATAGCTCCAGGGAAAGAGATTAAATAATAATTTTAAACTCTGGCTAGAAAAATAGCTTTTAATAGATCAACAGGGATCCAATATTGATTTATAGTATACATATATAAATCATTTCAAAAGTTGTATAATTTAGGACATACCTGTATACTAACGCAAAGTGAGGCAAAATTTTATTTTGTTTCTCTTAGCAGATGAAGTGATTGTACAAAGTTTGATATTTATTGAACTTTCTTTAATTAGACTAAGACACAGGTAATTCCACATTCACCTTATCACATTCAAATCCCAAAAGATAGGCCAAATAGAAGAAAAATGAAAATAAAAATTTCACAGTAGATGTAAAAAATTCCAATTCCCATGTCAGAAACTATACACTATTTCAAACAAATGCAATGAATATTGGATAACAGTATAATAAAACACATGGAAGCTAATTTACAATTCATTTCCCAAATAAAGTGGTTTTACATTTGAGATCCAATTAAATGTAAGTGATTCATAATTGCTAAAGAAAAATAAATGGTGCAACAAAAAAGACATAATTGAAAATTATAAATGGCAGTGAAAACAGTATTTTTAAAATTAAGGCTAGTGTCATAAACACAAAACTGGAAAACACAAAGCACAGGACCATTTCTAAAGCATTCATTAATTTTCATAGTTAGCTGTGTAAAAGTGTATGAAATTAAGCTGTAAAACTTGTCATGTAAGTCTTATGATATTTTACTCAGTTACAACTAAACATTTGAGTATAGATTATCCAAAAGATGATTAAATGTTTACTTCAAGAAAAATATGTAACATATGCAAAAAAAAAGAAAAGCTTTATGACCACATATTAATCTAACAAAAAATAGTACATTTTAAATAGAAGATCAAAGTTTCATTCTTATATCATAACAAGAAAAATTAGAAGCCGATTTCACTATTAGAATGTTTTTAAAAACTATTCAGAAATTGATTAAAATGCTTTTTTAAATTAAGCTCTCCAAAAAGAAGAGAAAGGAGAAAATAACAACAAAAAATAAGGTATATGGTGTTCAACACATTTCACCTGAAATCCAGCTACATCAGCAGAACCTAAAATTCACTGTAAAATTTTGTACAGATAACTAATAAATAACAAATGAATAGAAAATAATCAGTTTAATTAGTGAAACGAACTTTACGTGTGAACTCCCTTGTGTCACACTTCCAGATTCTTCACCTACTTTCTTCTTTCCTTCCATCTTAGCTAATACATTAAATCTTTTATTTTTCACCCCTAAATTTTTAAAAATACTTTATTTATTTATTTTTGGTACCAGGGATTGAACTCGAGTCCTTGGCCCTGCAAGGCAGGCCACCGAACCGCTGAATTAAATCCCTGGCCCAAAAAGATTTTAAAATATGTATTTGCATTCTAAGTGATATATTTAGTTGTACATATGATGAATGTTATATACATGGAATCACAAGAAATTCCTGACTTGACCTTTCACTCAATCTGAATTACTGTATGTTGTTATATTTTAACAAAGCGAATCCCTTTTTTCTGCTGTACCATAATTCATACCAGAGTTTATGCATCTATTTTTATGTTGAATGCTAGTTGAGTACTATTCAGATTTATTTTGAGATTTATTTTGAACAGTGACAATTAGAACATTCTTGAACTGGGCTCCTGATTTTATATTTATATTTATGATATTGTTCTACTAAAGTATTACATAAGAATTCGAGTCAATGATTTTCTTTGTTGTGATCTTTCAAGTGCCCCTTCACATACTGTCACCCTTTCTTAAAATAAACTATCATATTTAAATACCATTAAGTAAGATTCGCTTTTACTTTAGCCATGCCTGGGAGTGCCAACTACATATAATTTCTCATACTCCAAGTTTTCCTGAAGAATATATCCTCATATCTTTCAAATATTGTTCAGTTTTATGTCCAAGATTATACCATTTTTGTATTCTTTAAAAATTAAGTTCCAGAAAAGTATATAGACTATAGAAAAGTATATAGACTATAGAAAAGTATATAGACTATAGAAAATTAAAAGCAAAATAATTAACTCATGTATGCAACTGTATGGAAATGTTTTATGTATAAATTCACACATACATTAAATGAGTATGTATTAATTTGTGGCATCATTGTGACTGAGTCGAATCATTAATGATAAGCTTACTGTTATAGAGCACTGTGTTAGTTCTTTTCTGTTGTTGTAACAAATCCATCACTAATATAATGGCTTAAAACAAGATAAAACTACCATTTTCTAGTTCCGGACGTAGAGGTCAGGAGCAGGTCCACAGGCCTGCACTCCCTCTGGAGCCTCTACAGGAGTGTCTTTCTCACCTTTTCCAGCTTGCAAAGGAAACTTGCATTCAGTGGCTCATAGTTTCATTTTTTATCTTCCTAAGAAGAAATGTAGCATCATTCAAGCTCTCTTTGGCAGTGTCTGACCATTTTGCTTTCCTCTTGTAAAGGCTCTTTTCATTGCTTTGTTCCTATGCAGATAGGCCAGGATAATCTTACCCATATTACACTTCTTATTTTAATTGTTATTCAAATCTGTCGTGTTATGTAAAGTAACATAATCACAAATTCTGAGATTAACACATGGCCATGCTTGGTAGACTTAATTTTCAAAGCATCACAAATATATTTTAAGTAAGACGAAAAAAATAAAAGTTCATTAGTTACCCAAAAGTCCAAAATCAAAACTTTTCTTTAAAGGGTTACACTTACATCCCAAAAAGCAGTTGTTCCCACAACCTACAGATATTGGAGAACAGTGAGTGTCAGAATAGTGTCCCCAACTTTGGAACCCTGGTGGTAATGCTGATATGTTCTATAAAATCCAATAGCATATACATTTTACTCCATTTTTGGAATTTTTTAAAAGAAGCTAACTTAATAAACTTAACATAATTAAGACACAATTCTTTCTCATATTAGTAGACCTTTCTTTAACGTATTGCCAATACTAATTTTTCTATGACAGTTGTGGTTTGCTTATACTTAATCGATGCTTATGCTTATATCGATGTGCTTTTTTTTTTTTTAACTTAAGAACCTCCATTGTATAAAAGTTGATTTTAAAGCTTTAGCAAAGCTTTAGGGTCAGATCACATTTGTCTCAATCTTAGCAAAGTCATTTATGTTGTCAGTAAATCTTGTCCCCATACTTGGTCAAACATGCAAAGAAAATATTTCCATTTTTTACTACCTAGGTCAGTTCAGAATCAATGTAATATTTCATGATGTAGTAGTCTAAATTATTCATTTTAAAATGAAAATTTTCTATTAGGTTGTGAAAAGGCAGCTTATCTGATGT